CCTGCCTGATTCTCAACGATCACTCCTCACGGTCTAACATACTATATGATGAACTTGGTCATTTCATTCGTTGTAGACTGACATGTCTGGAGGACAGGCTTTGTTATTGTCCTCAGCCAGAAGAGGGCCTGACATGCAGGAGGCCCCACTCCATGAGGAAGGTGCTAGGGCAGGAAGAGGCTGTGCCCTTCACAGACGCCAGACTTCATCAGAAGTTGAAGGGCCCTGGGTCTGCACTCCTGGCCTGACTTGGCCTGGTCCATTTGTTTTGTCCATTTTTTTTTCTTTTAACAGAGCTTGGGACCACCCCAGAGGCCAGCAATGGGGGCCACAGGCATGTCACACCTCCGCTTCTCTGGGAGGAGAAGCTCCGGAGACATTGGGGAACATGGGAAATGGGCCCAACTCCCCTCAGAAGCTGTGCACGGACTGAGCCGGGCTCTTTGGGGAGACAGAAGGTGGCCTGATGGCTCCTCCCTATCCTGAAACCCACACCTTTGTGCACAGCCACAGAATTCAACATCTTGGGGGGAATGAATGTCATGTCTTTCAAGATTTCTCTCTGGCTGTCCTACGTACAAACGTCAGCATCCACCGGCCCTCTCTGCCCCTGCTCCATCTCACCAGAGCATTTAGCACCACCTGAGAGGTTTTATGTTTGCTGATTTATTTATTTTCTGTCTCCTTGCATTTGAGTGTGTACTTGATCTACTTTGTGGCTCCTCAATCCTGGGCATCTAGAACAGCGCCTGATGCATGGTGCGGACTCAGTGAGCATGTGGCGGGTGAATGAAAGAACACAGGCCTGGGAATTCCTGGGAAAATCACAATTTTGTTTTTAAAACTACATATATTCTGCTTCTAGTGGACTTTCAAACTTGAGGTCAGACACAGTGGGCAGGGGCGGGAGGAGCGGGTATGCAGATCCTGTGCCAGGCCCTTGACCTTCTTTCTCATGATGATGCTATTTGGTGGGTGATGTCCCACTTTTTCCAGTCAGGGAGACTAGGTTCAGAGAGGGGCAGGGGCAGCAGCTCAGGGCTGGGCTCACTCTACTTAGACTTCCCTCTCCCTCTCCAGCACCAGGACGCTGGGCCCCAAGGAGCCAAGGGGTCCTAGGAGCCACAGAACATTTGGCAAGGCCTAATGTCCCATGCCTGCACACCTCAGGCCTTGGGCCATTTCAGAGGGTGATAGCCCCCAGGGCACAGGGGTTGGAATTTTCGCAGATCACACTGAAGGTCATCCCTGACCTTGGTAGCAGCAGGAGCTCTAGCGGCCTTTCTGAGCCCACCCGCCAGCCTGCAGCCCCTCTGAGTCAGAGGCAGGCTACTCACGGAAGGTCAAAGGTGGAGCTGTGGGCAGACAGGGTCTCTCGGTTGAAATCCTTTCCACTGTACTGGGTCCCTGCCTTCCTGGCCCCTGTCCTCCTCCCAGTCCTCTACTGTCCTCTGGAACCCAATGCACTGCCCTCTGCCAGCAGTTCCTTGCCTACCACCTACCCTGACTGGTGGCCATCCCCGCTCCCGCCAGCTTTGCCTGGGCTCACCATTGCCATGGCCAGCGTCTGGTCCACGCCACCTTTGCCTCTTGCTCGGACCACTGAACAGCACTCCAGCCTCCCTGAGGGTTCAGTTGCTCTTATCACCCCCTCCTCCAGGGCGGCCAGGCTGCGCTTGCTACATCCATCCCCATCAACACCTAGAAGGGGGTCTGATTTTGTCCCCAGGCCCTCGAGTGCCTGGGCTGTGCTCCGATCAGCCTGGCTCCTCTCTGGCCGCAGATGGGGTGCATGGCTCCTCTCTAAGGCCTCTGCCCCTGCCTTCCTCCAGCACTCCTTCCCCAAAGTCCTTTTACCTTGCCCTCTTTCTTTATTCAGGGAAGCAGTCTTGGCCGCCTTGTCTAGGTGAGCCACCTCGGGGGAGCTGTGCCTGCACTTCGCCTACTGTGTCTCTGCCTTGGGACTGCAACATTCCTGGAGGCACGAGCTTGCTTTTTTGGCTTACCCTGGGATCCCCAGTACTGACAATGGTGCCAGCACATAGTAACTGCTTGCTGAATACCTTGTGAGTGGGTGAATAAATGAGTGAATCTTTTGGGGTCTAACTCTCAGCTCTGGTGACATCTTCTTAGAGAGCCCTTTTAGAAAGACCTCTTCCGAGAGAGTTGGGGGGCAGGCTCCCTCTAATTCCTGTGTGAATCATAATTAGATCCAAGGATCTGTTTCCAGAAGGTTATGGCTCAGGGGCAGTAGCTGCTTCTGTCCCTTTCGTGGCCTCAGGCAGGGCAGGTGTACTGTGCCCCTGGGTTTGACACACCTGAACACAGGGCTGACTCAGGCTCCGCCCACCTCTAGGAGCAGCCCCACCCACCTCCTTGTGCCAAACCCCACCCACCTCGGGAGAAACCCCGCCTACCTCTGGGCCATCTGCTTCTTCCTCTGGAAGCCCCTGTTACCTGCATTGTACGCATGGCATTTGACCTAGACTTACTTATTCACTCAAACGTTTACTTCCTTGCTCAGCAACAAAGTGCTTTATTGGGCCCCAGTTCCTTGCTGGGCTCTGTGCTCAGAGTCTTAGGGGGTGATGAACTGGAGCCAGCAATACTGCAGCCAAATGTGGAATGGAGTCATGTGCAGGGGAAGCCCACAGACGGGCTTCCAAATCAAAGTGGCGGGTCGGATAGGGTCTGCATAAACAGCGGGATCGGGGTTCTCCTGGAAAAATGATGCCATTCTTCCCTCTTCTCTTGCCAATCAGGTTAGAGTTTTGGAGAATGATAGGCACTTTCGGCTTTAAAAAATTATTGTTGCCGGGCGCGGTGGTGCATGCCTGTAATCCCAGGGACTTGGGAGGCTGAGGCAGGAGGATCAGGAGGATCGAAAGTTCAAAGTCAGCCTCAGCAACTTAGCGAGACCCTAAGCAACTTGGCAAGATCCTGTCTCAGAATAAAAATTAAAAAGGGCTGGGGATGCAGCTCAGTGGTTAAGCGCCCCTGGGTTCAATCTCTGGTACCCGCCCCCCCCCCAAAAAAAATCATTTTTGTCATCTAGTCCAACACCAGCATATTATAGATCAGGTGTCAGCAAACTGTCAAACACAGGCTGCTGCCCATCGTTGTAAATAAAGTTCAGCTGGAACACGCCATGCTCATTTGCTTCTGTGTTGCCTATGGCTGCTTTTGCCAGAGCTGAGTGATTGAGTGATGGGGAGGTGACTGTGTGACTTGGAAAGTCAGACATGTTTGCTGTGTGGTCCTTTACAGAAAAAGCACGCTGACCCCTGTTATAAATGCTCAAGAAGTATTGTCGAGCTAAGTCCAATGGGACCTTGGGGATCCCACGTGGCTAATGAGAGTGCAGTCTATATACCCAGATAAACCAAACTCGAAGCTCTTCTCTCTTTAAGGAAACTGAGGCATAGAGCTGGCCGGAATTGCTATGGAAAGACTCCTGAATCTTTATTTTTCTTTTAATAAAAAGCATTTATTGAGCACCTACTAGATTCCAGGGTTGGTTCTAGGTGCTGTAATGAATGAGACAAATTTCCTACCTCAAGGTACTTCCTGGTGAATAGAGTGTCACAGGGTACTGTGCTCCACCAGGTGAGGCTGGGTCCAGCACTGTGGCTCGGGCCCTGGGTCACCTCTACATCTTTGCCAGGCTGTGTCTCCTAGTCGAGCTGTTTCTGAGGATCCTCCCTGTTGGTTCTGCTCTTCCTGGGCCAGGGACTGTCTTTTTTTGTCCATCTCCGTCTCCTCATTACTGAGCACTGGGTCTGGCATACAGCAGGTGCTCAATCCACATTTACTACACCCCCTGGGCTCCTCTGCTAAGATCAGGCTTGGCAAGAGCTCCAGAGGTGTAACAGGTAACAATGACCAAGTGGCCCTTTTGGGACTTCCATTTAAGAATACTGTCTTGAGGGAATTCAGAAAAGGAAGTGGCGAGTGTGGTATGAGGTTTTCTTTTTCCCCTTCCTCCCTGTCCCCAGCTTCCTGGCTGACAGTGTTCCAATGAAACCCGATTCCAGGCTCACCTGTGAGCTGGGCTTGATGCAAGGAGTCATTATTGAAAGACAGGGCCGATCACATTATCAAATGTTTCCTGCATTTTTCATAAAAGGGATCCGAGGGGGAAGGTCACCACTCTGCTGTGGGGGAGGGGAGGAGGCCAGGCCTGGGAGGCAGAGGCAGGTCACTCCGGGGGAGGACACCAAACCTCAGAGCTGGTGTGAGAGCCTCTGGCTGTGCCGTCCCAGGTCTCAAGGACCCTCAGCTCCTCTCCGGGAAATCCCTTTCTCGGGAAGTTGGCAGCCTTGTTAGTTTTAGCTGATGCTTGAAGCTTTGGAGGCCCCTTGGGGCCTCAAAATGCTTTCTCTTGATAATATGTCTCAGGTGGATTTAAGATCACAGCTGTTACATCAGGATTTAACTTTGATTTGACTTGCAGGGGAAGAAAAAAAATGTCTCTCTTTTGCTTTTTTTTCTTTTTGTAGAAGTTCCAATCTGGCACGGTCTGATTTCCGCATTCAATTATGCAAGAAATATTTACTGAATTCTTAATGTGCGCATTGCACTGGGTTGAGACTATAAAGGTGGACAAGAAGGGAGGGTCCCTCCTCCTGGGGACCTGGGGGATTGTTACTCACATAAAGGAACCTACAGCTTGATAAAGTGCTTGCTCTGGGAACCCCTGGGGAGAGGCCTAGGGGAACTTCCTAGTGAAGGTGGTGTTTCCCTTGAGACCTGGAGATTATTGAGTAGGAGTTTGCCAGACAAAGAAGGGGAGGGAAGGGTGTTGTGGGCACAGGGAACAGCATGCACAAAACTTTGCCCTCCTAAAAGCTGGAAAGGAGCCAGGTGCAGATCTTTTTTTTTTTTTTTTTTTTTTTCCGCTTTCTGCTGTAACCAGGGCCTCTAGATAGACCTTTGGCTCTCTGACGGCTCAAAGCACAGGACCACCACCTGGAGGGAGATTGAAAAATTGTGTGACTCACGGAGGAAATATTCTGCTGTGTCAGCTTCGTAATCTGCATCCTCTGGGAAGTGATCGATCTGCTTGCACAGGCCTTTGAAGTTCCCTGCAAAGCAAGGGGAAGGAGCGCATGAGAACAGAGTGTGCAGGCTCAGCCCCTGCCCCTTCCGACTTCTTGCTCTTCTGAAGCTCACCCAAGCCTCCCCCTCCTTCCAAGGAAGGTATTGCTGCTTTGTCGTTTTGGACATTGGCCTGGTGGATCAAAACACACCCACCCGTAGCTCTGCGGAGAGGATCTAAAGCTAAACTTCAAAACCCTGCCTTCCATCCCTGGTCCCTGCGATGCAGCTTCTGAGGATTAGCTGGAGCTTGGCAGTGGCGGGGGGCTTGATTCTGGGCTGGGGACTGTGCTGGGGATGCTGCTGGTTGCTTAGTGGCCTGACTTGATGTCCCGGCTTGGCGGGGAGTCAGCCTGCATTTTGTATGTGAGAAGGCCGCACGTAGACAGCTCTCCAAAGAAGGCAGAGCCCAGAGTGATGTGGAGACGTTCCCTTGGCCCTTTCCCGGAGCTTCGAGCACATTCCCATCTGTAATTATGTGAAATTCACCCTGGGCCCCAGCAGCTCTGAGGCATCCAGGGGTTGAGGCCCCACTGGGGGCTGGGCTCCCCTCACCTTCTTAAACTATAGCTCATTTGGCTCATTCTAAAGAGGAATGTTGCCACTCCATTTTCCAGACATAAAGGTTGAGGCTCAGGGACGCTCCCTGATCTGAATAAGTACTTGTGTCCAGAAGAAGCTGCAATCAGGGTCCAAACAAAGGTCTTTTGACTCTAAATATTTCCACGGTGATTGCTGAGCAGTTGAGAACCTGCCCAGGGCCAAACTCCAAGGCAAGGCCCCAGTGGGCTCTCATCAGGGTTCACTGAGTGAATCAGCAAACCATTGAAGCAACCCGTCATACGAATCAATGAATAGAATCCAATTTATAATCACCAGAGTGTCAGCTTCCGGACAGCAGGAGCTTTGGTCTGCTGCATGCGTGTGGTCTCTCAGCATCAGCGGGGGCCACTAATGCCTGTTAATGTCCTCTGAATGAGAAAAGAACGGACCCGAGCTGGGGTGGATGGCCAGGGCCAGATGCAGGCTCAGTGGTCCAACTGTCTGGTCAAGCCCAGCTTCCTGGACCTGACTGTTTTCTTGTCTGAAGGTACACACGGGGCTCGGAACCATGCCTGGGGCATTTATCCAGTCCTGGGGACACAGGTGTGAGAGAGCAACAAAGTTTAACTGTTCAGCCACTGAGGAGGGTCTCCTATGACAGGAGCCAGTGTTACCTAATGAGAACAGTTCTCAGAAGCCGTCAGTGGTTCACTCTTTTAGATTCCTGAGATTCCATATCTGACTAGGTGGGTGCAGGTTTCCTCATGTGCCACGCATCCAAGAATTTTCAGACGGTGGTATCTAGCCCTGTACATCGAATCCATACAGCTCGGACCTTCCTAATCCAAATCCCAAAGACTCCCAAATCCAAAACTTTTGGAGTACCCACATGACACCCTGAGTGGCACTCCACACCTGACCTCCTATGAGAGGTCAAGGCCAAAGCACTGGCCACAGAAAGCATCTTATGTACACAGTTACCTCTAGGTTACGTGTGCGTGGTGCAGATGACACCCAGAGGGATCTCATTATGTATATGCCAATATCCCCAAATCTGAAGAAGTCTGAAATCCAAAACACCTCAGGGGCTGAGTGTCTTGGGTAGGGGACACTTAGCCTGTACTTTAAAACGCGGTGTTCAGGCGTGTGTCATGCTTCAGACAGGAAGAGCAGCATTTGAGGTCTTTCTGGTTCTTAGTATGTGCTACCTATTACAGAGAAGACCCCCTGGACCCCATTCACACATGGGCTGTCCCCATACCAAATTCACCTTCTTTTCTGACTTCAAGAAAAACAGTTCCCCAGAGCATGCTGGGACTTCCAGTCACTGTACTGAAGCTTTGTGGGGTCAAAATGGACCCCAGGGGCAGATCTTTTGTGTAAGTATTTGGGGCAGTCCATCCTCTGGCACAACTGCTCACCCCCTGCTGCAGCCCTCTGCCCTTGGCATCTGGGCATGGACAGGAGGCCTGGCCACCCCCAGCACCTATTCCCTCCATGTCCGCATCTGGTCCCCCGCCCCCCAGGAGAAGAGTCCTCCTACCAGCTGTTAAGAAGATAAAAAATTCCCCTGATTGTTGAAATTACAAATCAGCGTAGTTGAAAAGCACTTTGCAAAGCACTTTCATTTTCTTTCAATTCAGTCTGACAAATCTTCCGTCAGCACCAGCTCGGTGCCAGGCGTCTTTATAAGGAATCGGGCGCAGCAGGCGAACAGCGGCACTGATGTGCCCTGAGGCGCCCAGCAAATTGGGGACAGAGCTCTGGAACCGAGGGCTGGAGGGTGGCGCCTCCATCTCTCTCCAGGGCCCCACCTCCATCCTGGTGGGTGGCACCGCCCACACCTGCTCCCCACCCATCCTAGCTGCTCCCGGGACCCAGTGTGCCCTACTCGTGCCTGGGTAGGTGGCTCCTGGCACAGAGGGGCCCAGGAGATGTGCGTGGAGAGGCTGTGGAAGTCATGAGCAGCTCAGGTCTTACCTCAGAGGCCCGTACCTGGGTGGGGGCTGCCATTCTCAGTCTGGTGACTTTCCTGACTTTTCTGAGCCCCAACTCACGGGTCTCCCTGGAGCCTGGTCCTCAGAGGTACCAGTGAGCTCATCACCCCGCCATCTCCCCCAACTGCCGCTCCCATCCATCACCACAGCTTTCCTGTTTTAGGGCCTCAGCATCCCTCGAAGCTGTCCCTGTCTGATCATGCGAGCTCCAGCTTCAAATGCTGCAGCGTCCCAGGTTTTAGGGGAAATCTCAACATCTCTAGCATCTTCAGCCAGTTGCCCTCTCTATCTTTGGCCTCACTTCCCAACCACCTTGGCCCCCTCTTTACATTTCTTCCTTCTCCAGCTATACTCCCTCCTACCACAGGACCTTTGGCGTTCCTTTCTGGGCTGCACCACCTCCTTTGCCGTCTCCCTTTCCTAACCTCCCTCCAGCCTCCTGTACTGTGTTCAGGGGTGTCCATGGCTCGCTGGCTGGTGCTGGCTGCTCTGTGTCAGGGGAAGGCATTGTGACGCTCACGGGGTGGTTCCAGTGGAGAGGGAAGGAGGGATGACCTGCAGAGAGCAAGGGTGGAGGCTGGTGTGGGGAGGGAGGGCGGGCAGCCCTGGGGCACCCATGACGGTGGCCCTCACTGACACAGCTCTTCTCGTTGCTTTCCTTTCCCTCACACAGTGGGAAGCAGGGCCTTTAGCTGAGAGTGAGGAGGGGAGGAAAGGAAGTGGAGGGTGAGAGAGAGGGCCAGGCACACGCTCACGTGTGTGTGTTGGTGGCCTGAGGCCCTTCTGAGATTCTGTGGTTTCCTCCAGCCCTTTCGGGGTGCAGCTGCAGTGTGGCCAAGAGGCGGCTGGGAGGTGAGGCCAGATGGGAGGGGCAGGGAGCAGTAAGGAGACGGACGGCAGCCTCTGAGCTGGGCAGCGGGAGACAGGACCCGAGGGGCAAGTGGGTGCTGAACAGCCAGGGAGGGGTGTCCATGCACTGGGAATCTTGGGTGGGTGGGGGCTGAGGAATTGTCAGGCTCGGGGAGAAGGCCAGAAGTGGGATGTAATGTTCAGAGAGCGGGAGGTGAAAGAGACTGTGGGGGGCTGTGGCTATTGGCAATGCCAAGGTCAAGGCAAGACCATGAACGTGGGGGCTCAGGTGGAGGCAGGGGTGGTATTGAAAGTATCTGGCAACCAGAAAGGTTGTACAAATCAATATAAAGACGAGACTGAAACATTCGCTCTTACGCTCCCCGTATATCAAGAATGAATTAGGACTCTCCTACCCAGTTAAAAAGTTGAAGTGCAAATGATTCATCAAATTATTCTAATAAGCCCCAAATCATTGGTTGGTTTTTAGAAATTATTGGTGTGATCGTTTGATGATGAGGCCGCACAAACTAAATGATGGCCCTGTCTGGCCTCGATTTGACAGGGGAGCGGCACCAGATGCTTCCCCAGCTTCCCTGTGGGAGGAACAGCCATTGGGTCCTGGAGTGCAGGATTTCTAACTTGTTCCTTGCCTGGCTGCTGTGGCATCTCCAAGGATGACTACAGGAGGAGGCAGAGGCAGCGAGCCAGAGGATGAGGGGGCGCCCTGGAGGGAGCCAGGGATCTGTGAATGAAGGCACCCAGGGGGCTGGGGCAGACCTGGGGGGTGAGTTTCAGAGAGGGCAGGGTTAGGGAGGAGGCCCTCCTAGGAGAGGTGGCGGGGCTGGAAGTGTCCCGGGGCAGAGCCAGGCCTCCATTCCAGCAGGAGGAGAGGAGGTTGGGAGTGCGGGGAATTCTGCTGACCTTGGGAAACAAATTCCAGAGGGCTCCAGAGCACGGGGTTGGGAGACTGGGTCAGCCTAGGGGATGAACACAGCCCCCAGGAACAAGCAAGTAGTGGTGTGTGACGGGGGTAAGGTGAGACTTGGTCATGATGAGATGGGTCCCAGCAGTCCCTTAGGTTGACCGAGGTGATGACGAGTTCAAGGTCTCACATGCCATATAGAGGGATGTGCAAGGCCTTATGGGAGCACAGTCCAGCTAACGTTTATGTGGCACCAACTGTATGCCACGCTGTGCAACCTGCTGAGGACACAGAGGAAAAATACCACCCTGCCTGTCCTCCAGGAGCTCACCTCTCTCAGGTGGAGAGAGAGCCACTGCCGGGGAGGCAGGCTGCGGGGACAGGGAGACAGGGCGCTGGAGCACAGCGCACATCCGGGTCTGTGAGTGCGTGGATGTTACGGGGTCCTCCTGAAGAGGAGGCGGCAGAGCCCGGCAGGACTTGGAGCAGGAGCCAGCAGCTTGCGCGTGTGCACTGTGTGCATTGCCCACGCTCACACCCACATCTGTTGGGCTATGATGAGAAAATGGTGGAGGGGTGAGAAGCGCTTTCTAAGGAGAGAGATCAACCGGGCGGCCAAGGAAACACTGGCCACAGGAGAGAACAGTCTGGGGTTAGAGAAGTTTCCCCAGAG